AAAAAAAAAAAAGGCACGGAAGTTAAACTGCGAAGTTGTGAACTATCGATGCTATTGCCGAGACTGAGAAACGATGCCTCCATGAAACATCCCCTGATGCTTCTGTGCTTTTGCTTTTGCATTTTCCTTGGTACGTGGGGGTCAATGACATGCTGCGATCGCAGGTGCGACTGACTCGCCCCAGGGAGATTATTTTGGAATCGGCTTTTTCTTGGGAATGGTGATGACAGTGGCGATGATCGTCGCCTCCTACGTCGTCATGAAGCACTTGTACAATGCACCGCCCGGCCCATCGATGATAGCCTTGGAGGATATCGGCGACGACGAGCTAGAGACTGGTCTGCTGGACAGCGTAGATGCCAGCGAAAGAGATCGAGACGCCGTGGCCTGACAGGCCAGATGAGGCTTCTGGGCGGGCGGCGCACCTCGTCGGCGGGGGGAGAAGGGCAGCAAACGTATCTCAACAGTTATTGCCGTTGTTTTCTTCCCTGAAGTTCGTTCTCTTCATCATTAGCGGATATCATTTATCTTTCAGTTTTAACAAACATGTCATTTATGTTTCAGTTGTAGCAAACATGTGATTTATCTTTCAGTTGTAGCAAACATGTCATTTATGTTTCAGATGTAGCAAACATGTTCAGGTAGTTGTAACAAAGGAGAGAGTAAGGGGCAGAGAGATAGGAAGGTAGGAAGGAGAGGGAAGGAATGGGAGGGAGAGGGAGGGAGAGGGAGGGGAGGGAGGGAAGGGGAGAGGGAGGGAAGGAAGGAGGGAGGGTGGAGAGGGAGGGGGGAATGGAGCTGCCAATGAAGTGGAAACAGAGAACCAATCAGCAATTCATCAACATAGGAAGGTAGGCAGGAGAGGGTGGAGATGGAGGGAGGGAGGGAGGGAGGGAGAGCGAATTAATTGAGAAGGAAACTGCTAATGAAGGGGAAGCAGAGAGGCAAGCAGCAATTGATTAGAAACATAGAACCAACTAGCAATTCATCAAGATAGGAAGCTAGGAAGGAGAGGGTGGAGATGGGAGGGAGGGAGGGAGGGAGGGAGGGAGGGAGGGAGGGAGGAGGGGAGATGGAGTTAGGCTAGAAGGAAACTGCTAATGAAGAAGAAGCAGAGAGGCAAGCAGCAATTGATTAGAGACATGCATGGTTCATGAAAGAGAGGAACGGAAGGAAGGAGACGTAAACGTGTGGGAGATGGGCAAACAACGAATGTAGACACAGAACAGCAGTAGTGTACAAAGGAGGCGTGAGTAGGTAGGTGAATGTAAGAGCGAAAAGGAGCTGTGTCGAGCACAGAGGGAAAACTGGTCTGGCAGAGCTCCTGGAGTGCCTAGGGCCTTGCAGCATGCTTTTGGTTCCTTGGGCCCAATGGGCCAAAGCCGCCACAGGGCCCAGGCTGTCTCTGGATGTCTGATTCATAATTATCGTATTGCTTATCGGTCCTGTGACTACGGCATAGCTGTGTCATCCGAGAACGGCAGCAGTCAACTTCTATCCTATCTCCTGAATCTGTACTGATCCCACATTAAGGCCAGGTGCATGCAGATTTCACTCTTATTCTGCTGCTGCTATAGTGTTCTACGTGCTCTCTGCATCTACCTTCTTTCTCATCTTTGTCCATCATCTGTTTGTCGTATGTCGTTGGCGATGTCGCACGTCTGAAAAAAATGAGCGAATGACACGCAGATCTCAAAAAAGTGCCAAGTAAAAGAAAAAAAGAAAAACTTCAAAGCAACTGGGAGAAATGGCCAAATATCGTCCTTGTAACTGCAAAACAGATCTTAAAAAACAGAAAAAAAGAAAAACAAAAAAAAAAAAACCTTCACAAAACCTCCGACTTAAAAAAAAGAGAGCAGAGAAAAGAAGAGAAAAGAAAAGAAGAGAAAAGAAAAGAAGAGAAAAGAAAAGAAAAGAAAAGGATACCCAATAGGGAGAGGAAGTAGCGGATGGAAATAATCTGGCACGTTTAAAATAACGTGGGGACACAGTGACCAGCCCGTTGTGAGTCCAATGTCCATCGATGGGCGTGAGCCTATAGATAGTAGATAGGCAGAGAAAGAGTCCAAACCTCAACCCCACACACCCAACCTTCAACCCCACACGCCAACCCTCACCACACCACCAAACAACCCCCCAAACCCCCCCCACCCCGCCCCCCTCCCTCCCCACCCCAAAGCGCACGATCGGAGTGCTCCCCCCAAAACCCCCACACCGTGCTCCCTGCCAGCGCACGCGCGTGCATTTTTTTCTGCGCGCCGCCATGTGGCGCGTTTAAACGTTTAAACGAGTTTTCACAATGAAGCAGCAGAGAACAAAAACACATTTTAAGAATATGCATCAACACAAACGTGTGTGTGTGTGTGTGTGTGTGTGTGTGTGTGTGTGTGTGTGTGTGTGTGTATTGTTTGCTATACACATTGCCACGAAAGAAACATGACTCTAACCCAAATTATGTTGGACTTCCTGATCACTAATGGTTAATAGGTGGTGTCATTTTCGGCGAAGTTTTCACCGAAACTGTCATATTTCTCTGAATTTTGGATTTTTTTCTTGTTTCTTTTTTTGTGTAATATATGTAATTGCTTTAGGGTATATCTGTATTCAGTTTCAACGAATTTGGACCAGTAACAAAAAAGTTGGCAAAAACACCGAATTCGGAGAATCATTGGGCTAACTCCTCCGAAAGCTACTCCGAATAGGGTTTTATAGTGTTTTTGAGATTTTCTTTTTCTATTTTTTTTTTATTGTTTGATTTTTTGATGTTTGTATTATGATCCTGCATTGTTTGTTCGCGAAATGTTTGAGGACATTGTTTGTGGTAATGCGGCGAAAAATCCCGAATTTTGGGCCTTCCATTAACCATCTCTCGTCCGTGTGCGAGGTCCTGTGTATGCCACTTCATGCCAAAAACCACCTTGTGTAGTGTGCCACACAATGGAGAAAAGAGTCGTCTCCTCCCAGAAAAACTGTCAAAAGTATTGGTCTGAGGATGTCAATGTAGACACCAAATGATGTTTATCTATAGGAGTACACAACAGAGACAATTTGTGTTTATCTATAGAGTACAACTATAAACTGCTGGCCGGTAACCGCCTGACGATTCTCCCCTTATCAACGCTGACGATTCCCGACCTCCAGTTCTACTGCTGGTAGCCAGGTACTCTATATTCAGCTAATAAGGCCACAAAATTTACGCACACACCAAGTAGACGACTTGATGGTGAAGCTGGGAGAGGGGCATAGCCAGTTTCCCAGTTGAGTTGTCGTCGTAAATAAATGGTCTCCTGAGGTCCCATATTGAAGAAAGAAAAGGAAAAAGTTCAGTTCAAAAACCAAAGAACAGAAAAGAAAAGATGAGAAAACATTTTCAAACCTTTGGCCTTCATTTGGCAGGGCAATTATCGCCATGCCAGTCCACATGACACAGATATCACCGCATGCTAAAAAAAAAAAAAAAAAAAAAAAAAAAAAAAGTCCCCTCCCCTTGTAAGTTAATCCATGAGTGCAACAAATAGCATTGCTTAAACCACCCATACTTGGCCAAGCTATCAGCCGCAGATGAAAATAAAATTTTAATGAATAGAGTGGAAACGTTTCTAGTCGGATGAATTTGGGCGCTCCTTTAGTGGCCCATACATGTACTGAAATTGTGGTTTGTTAACGGAAAGCACTGCAGTGGTTTAACTCGTATGTACGAGTCTGGTCATACAACCCAAGAGAACATCACAGTGATGACATTCATGAGGAAGGAGGGGGGAGAGGGAAAAAAAAAAAAAAGAAAAAAAAAAAGAGGTGTTGATGCGACGAGTCTCCCGAAAGCAACCCAGATAGGTCATTTTGGATTTTGACAACCACCCATCATCAGCTGGCATTCTGAAAATATTTCCTTGAACAGTTCAGAGAAACACCCAGGCAACACATTTCGCCCAGTCGCCAGCTGGTATTTATCAGGGGTCAGATCGTTGTGAAATTGAGGAGAAATAAGGACAGGGGTCAGATCATTGTGAAATAAAGGACAAATAAGGGCAGGGGTCAGATTGTTGTGAAATTGAGGAGAAATAAGGGCAGGGGTCAGATCGTTGTGAAATTGAGGACAAATAAGGGCAGGGGTCAGATCGTTGTGAAATTGAGGAGAAATAAGGGCTGGGGTTGGGGCAGGGGTCAGGGCAGTGGTCAGATCGATGTGAAACAGCATTTCTATCAAATTGTAAATAAGTGCCATTTTTTCGGTATTTGGTGGCTTTTTTTGTTTCCACTACAATAGCTTTAAGCACATTCTGAGTGTTGCGACCCATTCGTTTGAGGAGAAATAAGGGCAGGGGTCAGTTCATTGTGAAATTGCGGAGAAATAAGGGCAGGGGTCAGATCGAATGTGAAATTGAGGAGAAATAAGGGCAGGGGTCAGGGCAGGGGTCAGATCGAATGTGAAATTGAGGAGAAATAAGGGCAGGGGTCAGTTCGTTGTGAAATTTAGGAGAAATAAGGGCAGGTGTCAGCTCAATGTGAAACTGAGGAGAAATAAGCGCCTTTTTTTCTCCCGCCGCCAGCGGGGGCTTAGGAGAAATAAGGGCGTTTTTTTCTCCCGTTGCCAGCTGATAGACATCAGGGGTCGAATTCTTGTGAAACTGAGGAGACATACAGCAGGCCTGCACAGGGCCTCGGCACAAAAAGAAATACCAGTCCATTTTCCCATAGAAAGCGGGGGGGTGGTACCTTCATTACGAGATCTCACGATTAATAATGTAAGATTCTTTTTTCGACCTTCTGCGCAAAGGTGCTTGTCATATTGCTCCTTTACGGTATATGTCTTTTTTTTTTTTTTTTTTTTTTTTTTTTTTTTTTTTTTTTGTCCACTTGAGGTAACATAATGTTACAGAGTAGAGGCGTGCGTTCGCAAGAACGTAAGAGTCGTCATGAAGTCACCTTTCATTTTTCGTATTTGGAATTTTGGATAGGTTTTGTTTTTTTTGTATTCGGAATTTTGGATAGGTTTTGTTTTTAAAACGATTTTTTGTATGTGGAGGTTTCCGAAGCTAGTGCCATTTGATGAGTAGCAAATAAAGGAGAAGGATATAAGAACTTATTAAGAAGAAAAAAAAAATGATACCAAAAAAAAAGAGTAATAACAAGAAAATGAAGATTTTTCAGGATCCATTGGTTGTCCTTCCACCACCACCACCCCCGCCCTTCCCCGCAGTGTGTGATATGTGGCATGGTGAGAGAGCCCAGGCCCAGTGGGGACGATTCCCTTTTCCTTGCAGCAGCAACTGCGCCTCGCTGCACTACTACTCTTGACATGCACAAAAGACAAAAATCATGGCGGTGTATCTTTCCGAAATCTAGCGGAAGATTCACTCTCATTTTGCACATTTCGAGAGTAGTGCTGCGAGGCCCATTATCTTGCATAAACCTTGACCGTGCCACACCCAGTCAAATTGGTTATCTGATGCGATCTCGATTTCAATTTCGAGTTCAATTTCCCATTCTCACTCGAGTGCTGCTATGCTACGGTCGTAGTACACGATGTGACGTCCTCAAATTTGTCATCTGAATGAACAGCAGCGTCAACAAAGGTGTATCTCCAAAAAGGTAGGACGGAGGAACCAGTGTGTAGCAGCAGGTATCCGGCGCCAGGTACAGGGTGAAGAGGTCCCCCCCCCCCCCCCCGCCTTCCGATCATCCTGCTCAGTCAATCCCCTCCATCCCAGGATAATCAATGGTGGCAGGAATATCCCGCATCCCTTTTTTTCTGATATGCTCCAAATTCTGTCCATGTTTGGGACGCTGGACCCCCACCAATAAATGCTCCGGACAAAAAAAAGCGTAAGGGATGCTCCCCACCAATAGATGTAACCTCCCCCCAAAGCTCGAACGAAATTATCCATAAGTTTGCAATTGATTGTGGATAATGTTTTATGATCTAACTTATCCTGTAACATCTCAAGATGCATTTTAGAATGAATAAGTTCATATACAACCTGAGCTCTAAAAAAAAAAAAAAAAAAAAAAAAAACACCTGAGCTGAATAAGTGAATTGTGTTCTAATTCCCTCTTCACGGACTACATCTGCTCTTATCAGCACCACTAGCACTACCGTCTTCCACCAAACACAACGCACCCTCATTTTGACAGTCTCGGGCCGGAAACATGCCTTGCATACGTTCATTTTTTTCAGGGTGTGTTATGTTCCGGGGAAGAGGGTAGTGGGGACGTGTTGGGGGGAAACAAAAAAACACTGACATTCACATGAAACCATCAGCAGCCTGCCACAAGGTCGACGCGATTTCGATTTCGTTCCCATTCTCACTCGAGTGCTGCTATGCTACGGTCGTAGTACACCAGGTGAAGTCGTCAACTTGGTCATCTGACTGAAATATACTGACATTCACATGAAACCATCAGCAGCCAGCCATGAGATCAATGCGATTGCGATTGCAATTTCGATTTCGCTCCCATTCTCACTCGAGTGCTGCTATGCTACGGTTGTAGTACATGACGTGAAGTCGTCAAATTGGTCATCTGACTGACATATACCTACACTCAGATGAACCCATCAGCAGCCCGCCATGAGATTGATGCGATTTCGATTTCGATTTCGTTCCCATTTTCACTCGAGTGCTGCTACGCTACGGTCATAGTACACACGAGGAGGCGTCTAGTCTCTACCCCCTCCCTCGCAAAAGAAAGAATAGATCTGAAAGCCAATAGCAAGACCATACACAGGAGGGAGGAGGCTCCTCTTTGGGGGGGGAAAAAACACACACACAATGCAAAACAGCACTGCTGTCTTCCCCCGAACATAACACCGAAACATATCGCCTATCTGTTGTAAATGTAAATGAATACAATCAATAAGTCGCTTTCTATCCGAATACCGTTCGAACCGCTCGTGCGTTCGAATACAACGTATTAGATTTTGCAATCTATTTGAATCATCAATTCTCTCCGAGTTTTTCTTTTCCATGGCAAATGTGCATTGAGCATCGCGTTCCAAACGACCTGAAAATAACCTACCGCACAGCACATCTTCCCCCGATCTCCAAGTCTTTTTCTTCCTTTTCGGGTATTGCCACCAGACAAAGAGGTCGGGGCAAGCTGAACTGCCGTAGAGCGCAGTGGTGGACAACTCCATCTGTTTTTTTTGTTTTTTGTTTTAGACGGAAGTCAGCCTGTGAAAGGTAGCGACGCCTCCTGGTGCCGTATATATTTTTGTGCCTAGGTCGCGACGCCTGCTGGTGCCACATATTTTTGTGCCGATGTCCACATGAGCTGGTCCGATCCCCCATGGCATCCCCTGCGTGTGTGTTTCCTAAGAGCAGTGTGTATTGCGCGAATCCCATCGTACTAGCACTTGACGACTTCTTCATTTCTGTTCCATTGGGGGGGGG